TTTGTCTTTTCCTGCCTTCTCTTTGACTGTATACCTTTATTTCAGTTTCCATTTTATCTCTCTGACTTACATTTTTTTCCTGTTTGCTCTGAAGATGACAATATGTTATTTTGAATTATTACTGTCCACTACAAACTAATGGCATTTCAATTACAATTTTTGAATATTGCAGCAATATATTGATAATTAAATTTAATACTCCCACACCATCTTTTGTGCTACTTTGAAATGCATTTAACCTACACATGTGTTTTAAATCAAACCACACATTATTATTTTCACTTTAAATAAGTATCCTTTACTTAAGTAATTTAAAAAGTAAAAAAAAAAAAAAAAAAAGTCTTTTATAATCTATTATGTATTTACCAGTCTGCCTTTCTTCATTCCTTTGTGCAAATCATGTTTCACCAACACCAAGGGCCTGCTTTACCATTTCTTACAGTACAGCTGGGCTTCCCTGGTGGTTCAAATGGTAAAGAGTCTGCCTGCAATTCTGGAGACCCAGGTTTGATCCCTGGGTTGGGAAGATCCCCAGAGAAGGGAATGGGAACCCACTCCAGTATTCTTGCCTGGAGAATTCCATGGACAGAAGAGCCTGGTGGACTACAGTTCACGGGGTTACAAAGATTTGGACACGACTGAGCAACTAACACACACATACACACACACACAGTACAAGTATGCTGGTGATGAATTCTCATAACTTTCATCTGAAAATGCCTTTATTTGACTTCTATTTTTCAACAATAACAATCCTGTGTTTAAAATTCTAGTCTTAGATTTTTTTTATTTCAACATTGAAGAAAAAAACCACGGCCCATTGTCTCATGGCTTATATTTTGATGAGAAACCACTCCCCCAGGAATCTTCATAATCTTTTTTGCTCTGTTGCTTTCAAATTTTTCTCTTTTTCTTTTTTGGTTCTCGTGGGAAGAGAGAAAATTAGTCCCATCAGACTCACAGTTTTGAGAGCTGATATTTTTTGTAATAATTGGAAAATTCTCTACCATTATTTCCTAAAATAGCTTTCTGTTCCAACCTCTCTCTTTTATTCTGTAATCTGTAATCCCAATTGTACTCTGTATATATTATATTACCTGATATTGTCTCATAATTCACTAACAATTTTTCAACCTTTTCTCTTTCTATGCTTCAGTTTGGAAAGTTTCTATTAATATTATTCTGTCTTCAAGTTCTTGAAGCTTAACAATCTTTACTTCCTGGGTTTTCCACCTGTTAAACTCACCCACTAAACTTTTCATTTTAGATTTTTATTTTTCAGGTTAAGGATTTCCAATTCTTTACTGATATCCTCTCATCTCTGTACTATGTTCATATATTTCTATAAAATTTGAGAACATATCTATGATCTACCTGAAGTCTTTGTCATAATTGCAAAATCTCTGTCACTTTGCTGTATGTTCCCATCAATTTTTTGTCCTGGTTTTGAATCATATCTCCTTGCTTCTTCACATGTCTAGTAATATTTTATCATTTGATGCACATTGCATATGCTATATTGTTGATAATATGGATTTTGTTGCCTTGTTTTGATTTGTTAGAGAATTATTTTATTAGCACATCAACTCCATTTTTTGGTTTTATTTTTCAGGTTTCTTAGAACTCCAATGTCTTAGTTGGACTCTCAGTTCAACTTAGAATCTTAGTTCATCTCATAGCTCCCCCTTATCTATTATTTGCAAAATCTATCGATAGAGAATCATCCTGGACATTAATTGCTTAACATTTCATGGAATAATCAAGACAATTCCTATGAAGATTTCTGGATCCCCTTCTCTGTGCAGCTTCCTTCTTTCTGCCTGAAAGCTAGATATCTTTTCAGTAACTCCAAATTCTCATCTCTGTCTTCTTAGCTTAGCAAAATATTCTGCTTAATATAAGCTCCACTTCCCTGCACTGAGGTTCAGAAGCTCCTCCAACCAGAAAAATCAATACAATTATAGGCCTAATCCCATGTGTTTTGCTTGTGTCTGGAATCACAGATGTATACTGTCTATTGCTCAGTGTCTGAAACCAGTTGCTTCATATCATTTTCTCAGATGTCTTTTTTTTTTTTTATAGTGGAAGAACTTATCTGAAACTAGGAACTTGGTCACGGATTAGAGAAGCCCTAAAGCTACTCTTTCACCTTATTTATCTCAGGATCTTTGTAAAGTATAAAATCCCCTGTTCCTTTTATTTTTGAGCCATTTTGTTACACATAACACCTTCTTATAATAGTCAATAAATGTTTTCCTGGTCTTAAATGTTCACTTATTGAAAGATTTAACTCCTAGTTTATAGACTTCTGGTTTACCTCCTGTGTTATCAATATCTTTAAAGATATCAACATCCATCTAGTGACATAAAATGTCCTCAGTTCTTTGATATGTTTCTCTTCAAAGGCTTTTTATTCTTCTTCAGGTCTATGACTCTTTTTTATAGTTACCCTCTGGATTTTGTCATCACTTGAAATTTATTTTACCTCTTCAATGATAAATTCAGACAACTATGTCTTCAAAATAGACTTTATTCTTTTACTCAGTTGCTCCCAGATCTTCAGTCATTTGACTTCTGTAGGACCTCTAATGTGTACATATTTATATCAACTGTCTCCCTATCATTTCCTTCTGAGTTAATTTCTATTACTGTGCATCATATTCCATTTCAACAACTTTCTTGCCAAAACCCTCAGCAATCACATTTACTTGACTCCTTGCATACTACTGTACCAAAACAAAACAAAACAAAACATGACACTTGGCTTTCATCTATTCATCTTCTCTGTTGAAGGCTGCTAAGCGTTGGACAGAAATAGCACCTTACTCAGATTAGTGACACTGAAATTTATGATTCATAGCTTCCCATGAGACTTCAATTTACCACATCACAGCAGTGTTTCTTATGTTTTGTTCCTTTCCCATTTACCACAGAAACTATGTCAAATATATTCACTTTCTTCTTATAACTGACTCTTTCACTCACTATCTCATTCTTAATCAACTTCCTTCTTTGAATGGCAGTCATCAACTGATAAGTTTTTCAATTCCTACCGCCAAACAGACCAATAATAGCACTCATCCTGCCCATCTCTCCTGCAACAAAGAAATGTGTCCCTTCTGCCCAAGTTTGTGAAATGTATTCTCACTATCTCTGTCTCTCCCTCTATTGGCTTTTTTTGTTAGAATCTAAATATATTCAAGCCTCTCTTCTCAGAAGTCCCTTTTAATCCCAGGTCCCTCTTTGCTGTTTTTGTTCAGTCTTGAGTTGTGTCCAGCTATTTGAGACCCCATGGACTGTACCATGCCAAGCTTGTCTGTCCTTTGCTATCTCCCAGAGTTTGCTCAAATCATGCCCCTTGAGTTGGTGATACTATATTATTTCTTTCCTCTTGCTCATAGAGAGACTCTAGAGACAGATTATCTCTGTGTGTATCCCAGATCTGCCACTTATTAGTTAGTTACAATTAATGTAATGTTTTTAGCAACTCATTTAACTGACTGTGATTTCCTCCTCTCTAATACCACATAAGATAGACTGAATGTATACATATATATATATATAATAGCATTTGTAAATGCCTGGAAGATAAGCTACTTAATAAGTCTTGGATGTTATAATTCTAAGTATTATTAGTTAAGCCAAACTTCCTGAGAAGACTGAATACAAGTTACATTTACTTTTTTATCTCTGTCTCAGCACTCAAGTCTCAGCGATCTGGCAGCCATGTCAAATGTTTGGCAAAATGTTCTTGCTGAGCCATTTACCCAATTGAACAGGTATTTCTGTCTGTATCTTTCCTGACTTTAGGCAGTATTTGACATTGCTGATCATTTGTACCTCCTATAGCATTCCATTCTTTTTATTTCAGTGCAGTCACATGCTGGGTTTTCTTCTACATGTTGGATATTCCTTCTTACTATATTTTGCATTTTCTTTTGAAAATTTCAGTGTTTTAAAAAATCTTAAATGTCAGGTTCCTCAGAATTCTCCTCTAAGTCCCCCTGATCTTACTACCCATATGCCCTCAATACATTTGCTGATTATTTATGAATCTTGGTCTTCAGCTGAAGCCTGTCTCCTGAGTAGCAGATCAATTCAGCTACTAAAATCTCCACAGGAATCTTACATTCAGCACATATAAAAATTAACTCATCTCTGGCCTCCCTAAGCTGATCGTATATTCTTTAGCTCAACCTTACATAGCATGGCCAATGGAGAACTCCAGAGGCCATTATTCATTTTGCAGTAAGCAAGGGAGGACAGTTAGTATAAAATTCAACTTAAAGGTGCCCCCCCCCCCAGATTTGTATAATATGGTAATCTATCCTACATCTGACTTAAAATCCCATATGTTATGTTGGATTCTGCTCTCCATGATGCCCTGTCAATCACTGTCAACTCCAATTACTAATTCTCTCATAGTCCCATCCTCCTCCAAATTTCCAGTGCAACTCCTCCTCCTGGACATCTCCTGATTCTTTTAATATGAAGCCCAAACTTCACACAATTTAGAATTTTCAGGTACTGTCCTACTTTACCACTCTGGCTTCAACTCTAGCTACTCTTCCTTAGTATTCAACAATCAAGATGTACTGTAAGTTTCTCAACCATGCTCTGCATTCTCTTACGTCTAGGCTTCTAGGCATGCTTTTCACTCTCTTTGGAATAATCTACTTGCTCTTTTCCCTAAGAAGGCTTAGTTTAGTCTTCCATAATGTAGACTCTAGACAAGAACATGATTTCAAGAGGTTTATGTTGGAGATAATCTCAAAAGAAATGGTAGAAAAGTGGGTGAAACAGAAGGAAAGAAAGGTGAAACAGTATCTTAGTGAACATGTTACCACTATAGGCAGTGGGAACTCAATTCCACTGGGAACTTTTGGGATAAAACATAGAGTACATCTGAGAACAGTCCCATATAAAAAGCAAATTAGAGTTCTCTGAGCTTGCAGTAACTTTTTCTTCCCCTGGGAGGGCTCTTGGCTTTTTTCCCCAGCATGGCCCCCAAACACCAGTTTTCACTTCCACTCCAAGCTAAGAAACTGCAAACAGTGAGGCTGACTCTTGCCTCCAGGCCAGATGAGGCATCTGCTTCTTCAAACTTGCCAAAGGAAGTAAAAGAACAGCAAGAAGCAATCAAACATATTGATAAAGTACAAAATGAAATACACAGACTTAATGAACAAGCCAGTGAAGAGATTTTAAAAGTAGAACAGAAATATAACAAACTCTGCCAACCATTTTTTCAGAAGAGGTCAAAATTGACTGTCAAAGTCCGAAATTTGGGGGTAACAACATATGTTAAACATCCACAAGTGTCTGCACTGCTTGGGGAGGAGGATGAAGAGGTGCTGCATTATTTGACAAGAGTTGAAGTGACAGAATTTGAAGACATTAAATCAGGTTACAGAATAGATTTTTATTTTGATGAAAACCCTTACTTCAAAAATAAACTTGTCTCCAAAGGATCTCATCTGAATAAAAGTGGTGATCTATCTTCAAAGTCCACTGAAATCAAATGGAAACTTGGAAAGGATTTGATGAAACAATCAAGTCAAACACAGAATCAAGCCAGCAGGAAGAGACAGCATGAGGAACCAGAAAGCTTCTTCACCTGGTTTTCTGATCATTCTGATGCAGCTGCACATGAGCTAGGAGAGGTCATCAAAGATGATATTTGGCCAAATCCGTTACAGTACTGCTTGGTTCCTGACATGGATAATGAGGAAGGGGAAGGAGAAGAAGATGATGACAATGAAGAGGAAGAAGGATTGGAAGATATTGATGAAGAAGGGGATGAGGATGAGGAAAGGTGAAGCAGATGACTGATGGAACATTGATGGATTCCAACCTTTTAAAATTCTCTCCAGTCCCTGGGAGCAAATTGCAGTCTTTTGTTTTTCCAACCCCCCTTCTCTTGTGCTCAGTTGTCATGTTTTTGAGGTCTCTTTTCTCCTTTATACCATGGTTCACAACTTATTTTGGGGGGAAATATCTTCAGCAGAATTCAGTGGGAAAAGAATCTCTACCCCTTCCTTTTCCAAATTCGTTTTTATCCCTTCCTGTCTCAACAGAAGTTTATGGGATCAACACCACCATGCTCTGTGGGGGGAAAAAAAGAGAGAAACCTGCTCCTTTAGCTCGAGAAGGGAGTGTGTTAGGCCCGATGCATGAAATTCTAGCCTTTTCCCTCCTTTCTCTATATATTGGGCTCAGAGTTAAGACACGGTGTTATCTGTGTCTTAAGATACTGTGTCTCTATGTGAATCTGGACAGTTAGCATTTACCAACATGTATCTGTCTACTTTCTCCTGTTTAAAAAGAGAAAAAACAAAAAACAAAACTGGGGTTATAGAAGGTCAGCAAATGGTCGGTTTGAGACGTTTGAGTGGGTTAAGTGGGCATTTTGACAACACGGCTTCTCATTTGGCATGTTTGATTGTGGTGTTTAACGGACATCCCTGCAGTTTAAGATGATACTTTTAAAATAAAATTCTTTCCTAATGATGACTTGAGCCCTGCCACTCAATGGGAGAATCAGCAGAGCCTGTAGGATCTTATTTGCAGTTGACATTCTCTACTGTAATTTTGATCCTATTTATTTATAAATTTTTCTTCTTGTTTCACTGGAAAAGAAAGATGATGCTCTGTTTTAAACATTAAAAGTGTACAAGTTGCTTTGTTACAATAAAATGAAATGTGTGTGTGCACACACACACACACACAAAGCAAATTAACTGGGCTACCCATTTTCCATGTTTTCTCCCTCTTTGACTGAGAACATTTCCTGAGGGATCATTTCTCCAACCTGACTGTGGACAGATAGGGTGGGCTTGAGAAACCTCTAAAATTCTATTTGGCAGGTGTTAGAAGTAGATCATCAGCATGCACTGGGAACACATATGGGAAACCAAATCTAACCACGGATACTCCTTTAATATTCCTCTCCTGTGTAACTTTAAGTTCTTTATTACCTTTATCTTGTTAATTAGCACATCTTAGTGCGAGAAATTGCAATTAAACAGGAAGTCACTATAGCCATGTGTCTAGTTCAACATGGTTTCCCTAAAACCTCGCCCTGAGTAGATACTTCCTGGACCTTTTGACTGAACTCGCTTTTGTTGAATGGGTATTTTAAGTTTGGTAGCAGTAATTACATACCTTTAAAGATTAGTCAAGATACTGTAGACTTTGATTTCTTTCTTTCTGCCTCATTCAGGTAGAAAGATTGGTATTTGGAAATGACTGCAGTAAGGGGCAAGTCGCTTTTTTAGATGTCAAAAAATAATTGTTAAAACGTGGCTTTCTTACACTGTGTAACCTGTGTCATTTCTTTATCATTAACCTTCCATCCTGAAAAGTTGTTTCAACACCTCCTTCAAATGCTCACATTTGAGAAATGCCAGAAGACAAACATTTATGCTGTAAAATAAGTGGAAATGTCATTTTTAATACATTCCAAGTGTGTGGTACTTGTATAAATTGGGTCTAACTGTATCATCTGGTGAGATTTCCTCTCCAAAGATGACTAATTGGAATGGTATGATCGTAACAGTGAGTTCTGGGTGAAATAACCAGACATTTCCAGTCTGAATGAATGGCTTTTGTGTCAAACATTGAAAAGCTGAACCATTATATGCTGTTCCCAGATTTATGTTGCCCAAATGGAGTTAAGTTATCTTGTTTTTTCTTCACAGCTTCCATTCTTTTTAATTTATTTATTTATTTTAATTGGAGATTAATCACTTTACAATATTGTAGTGGTTTTTGCCATACACCTTGGGTGTACATATGCTCCCCATCCTGATCCACCCTCCCACTTCCCTCCCCATCCATTTAGCAGGAAAAGTCAACACTTCCTTCCTTGGTACCAAATATTTCATGCGTCCTATAACCAAAAGGGTCAAGTCCATTTTCTCTACTCTAAAAACATTAATGCAAACATTTGTTTGTTTCTCATTTTTTATACCTTGATGGTAACATTAAAATTATATTTAGAACTTCTAGTTATTTCTATGTGCCAATTTTCTCTACTCTAAAAACATTAATGCAAACATTTGTTTGTTTCTCATTTTTTATACCTTGATGGTAACATTAAAATTATATTTAGAACTTCTAGTTATTTCTATGTGCCAATTTTCTCTACTCTAAAAACATTAATGCAAACATTTGTTTGTTTCTCATTTTTTATACCTTGATGGTAACATTAAAATTATATTTAGAACTTCTAGTTATTTCTATGTGCCAATTTTCTCTACTCTAAAAACATTAATGCAAACATTTGTTTGTTTCTCATTTTTTATACCTTGATGGTAACATTAAAATTATATTTAGAACTTCTAGTTATTTCTATGTGCCAATTTTCTCTACTCTAAAAACATTAATGCAAACATTTGTTTGTTTCTCATTTTTTATACCTTGATGGTAACATTAAAATTATATTTAGAACTTCTAGTTATTTCTATGTGCCAATTTTCTCTACTCTAAAAACATTAATGCAAACATTTGTTTGTTTCTCATTTTTTATACCTTGATGGTAACATTAAAATTATATTTAGAACTTCTAGTTATTTCTATGTGCCAATCACCACTTTTGGTATTTCACATATAATATCATTTATTTAGCCCTTAGTGAAAATGAGATAATTATATATATGGAAAGAGATTTAGGTTGAAAAATTTATTCAAAGCCAGTAGAGATGTAACTAGCATGTGATTCATGTCGAATTCAAAGCCAGGACCTTATCTCTACATCTTGCTGATTTTTCCACCCTTTCTCTAGAGCCAAAACTTCTTCAGATACTAATAAAGAGCATCTGACTATAGTCTTGAAATTACTATTTTACAGATGAGAAAACTGAGGTCAGTTCAGTTGCTCAGTTGTGTTTGACTCTTTACAAACCTATGGACTATAGCATGCCAGGCTTCCCTGTCCATCACAAACTCCTGAAGCTTGCTCAAACTCATGTCCATCGAGTCCGTGATGCTATCCAACCATCTCATCCTCTGTTGTCCCCTTCTCGTCCTGCCTTCAATCTTTCCCAGCATCAGGGTCTTTTCCAGAATGAGTCAGTTCTTCACATCAGGTGGCCAAAATATGGGAGCTTCAGCTTCAGCATCAGTCCTTCCAATGAATAANACTAGCTTTGTTCATAGTGATGCTTCCTAAGGCCCACTTGACTTCACATTCCAGGATGTCTGGCTCTAGGTGAGTGATCACACCATTGTGATTATCTGGGTCATGAAGATCTTTTTTGTATAGTTCTGTGTATTCTTGCCACCTCTTCTTAATATCTTCTGCTTCTGTTAGGTCCATACCATTTCTGTCCTTTATTGAGTATGTTTTTGCAAGAAATATTCCCTTGGTATCTTTAATTTTCTTGAAGAGCTCTCTAGTCTTTCCCATTCTATCATTTTCCTCTATTTCTTTGCATTGACCATTGAGGACGGCTTTCTTATCTCTCCTTGTTATTCTTTGGAACTCTGTAATAACATGTGTGTATCTTTCCTTTTCTCCTTTACTTTCCACTTCTCTTCTTTTCTCAGCTATTCTCCTCAGACAATCATTTTGCCTTTTTTCATTTCTTTTCTTGTATCTGCTACTGTAGACAAGAATCTCCTAGAGGAAATGAAGTAGCCCTCATAGTCAACAAAAGAATCTGAAATGCAGTACTTTATTGCAATCTCAAAAATGACAGAATAATCTATGTTCGTTTCCAAGGCAAACCATTCAATATCACAGTAATCCAAGTCTATGCACTGACCACTAATGCTGAAGAAACTGAAGCTGAATGGTTCTATGATGACCTCCAAGACCTTTTATAACTAATACCCCAAAAAATGTCCATTTCATTATAGGGGACTGGAATGCAGAAGTAGGAAGCCAAGAACTACCTGGAATAAAAGGCAAATTTGGCCTTGGAGTACAGAATGAAGCAGGGAAAAGGCTAATAGAGTTTTGCCAAGAGAATGCACTGGTAATATCAAACACCCTCTTCCAACAACACAAGAGATGACTCTACACATGGGCATCACCAGATGGCCAATACTGAAATCAGATTGATTATGTTCTTTGTAATTGAAGATGGAGAAATTCTACAGAGTCAGCAAAGACAAGACTGGGAACTGACTGTGATGCAGATCATGAACTCCTTGTTGCAAAATTCAGACTTGAACTGAAGAAGGTAGAAAAAACCAGTGGACCATTCAGGTATGACCTAAATCAAACCTCTTACAATTATACAGTGAAGTTGACAAATAGATTCAAAGGATTAAATCTGATAGAAAGAATGCCTGAAGAACTATGGATGGAGGTTCATGATATGGTACAGGAGGCAGTGATCAAAACCATTCCCAAGAAAAAAGAAATGTTTATATAATTTGGGATAGAAATTGAATAAAATTTTACAGAATAAAAATTGTAAGATTTGAATTACCTTATAAAATTTTATTAGATTCTGATCAGCATTCTTATTTAATGAAAAATTTGAACCTTGATTGATTTTTCTATCATACTGGTAACTCTTTCTACCTTGGTATCATATGCAAAAAAATGACATGTGCTTTTATATCTCCATCAGCATCATAAAACTCAATTATAGTTGTGTCACAGAAAAGGGAGCTGATCCGAAAGGCAGGCAGTGATTGTTTTGAGAATATTGGAATAAAATAATTTGCTGTAGAGAAATCAAGATAAAGGATCTAATTATGCAATTTTTATTTACATCGTATCTGCATCTATGTGTTGAAGAAGCATATAATGCAAAACTTAAGAAGGTAATAGCCACAATAATAAGGTAAATTATTAAGTGCTTAC